ACAAAATTCTGTCTACTATCTATAAAGCTTTTTTCAGTATCATAGAAGCCTCATCCCAAATTATCAAATCGATTTCACATATATTTTTTTTTTTTCAGGTTCGATTTTAATGCATACAGGCTCAATTTTATTTAAATCCATAGGTAAGCAAAAAGTTCTATGACTGGTTATAACTTTTGGTAGTAGTGCTGACGCAATGTGCCATGATGTATACGTTTAATAAGCAATGTTGCAAGTTTCTTATTATTTGGAGGTATTTTCGCTGATATAATTTTATTAATATGTTCAGGTAAAATTATTTTATTGTTAGCATGTAGTATTACGAAAAAACGTGCATTAGGTGAACCACGTTTTTAAATTCTATAGTATAAACATAGGTTATTACCAAAAAGTATATTAAGGAGTAAAAAACTTTAAAATTTTTTTCTTTGCTTCAAAATGTCTTTATTAATCGTAAACATTTATTTCGGCAGTTACGCCATTGTCAGATGCTTGACATACCAGTTCAATTAAATCAAATTAAAATAGGTTTATCAATCTCTTAATAAATAAGTGGCCACACAAGCACCTCTAACTAAGCAATTTACTGCTGATACTATATGATTACTCTGTTAATGGGGGATCGGCACACAGAGACCTCCGAGTATATTTATATTATAGGCATGTATATTTCTACGCTACGACTCAACCAATGCGCTTGCTTAAGCTGATTGAGGTGCAATTATATATGTGTGACACGGATTTATACAAACAATAGTAATAATTTTAAAAATAGTAAAAGTCATATCTCAAAGGCAAAGCTACATCCTTCATATACTAGTTATAAATGGATTCATTGTCCCTTCTTTATCATATATTATAAGAATAATGGTCAAGTGACCAAAACCTGTATTCTTATTAACAATTTTGATATGAGTATAAATTACTCATAATCACTGGTAAATTTTAATATTAAAGTATAAATAATCATACAAAACGGATTGAATGAAAAATTACAACTTGACAATCAAAAATAGCTATATGTCGATTGTCTTTCTTAATCTTAATCAGATGGAGTAGATTATTTCACTTTTATGGTAGCCAAAATTAAAAAAAATTTTTTTTTCGGATACAATGCTTCCAACAAGAATTGATTATACATACATAATGTCATATCAAATGCACGAATAGTAATTACCTTTTTTTGGGGCAGTATGGTGAACATTTTTGTTTCGTTCTGCTTTACATGACCAACAATTAGTACATGTATTAATTCATATATCATAGCAAATATGGAAGTACTTAAAATGTGTGAATTACATGTAAGACAAGTAGTATGTATAAGTATATGTATTTTATGTACGCACGTGCTCGAATAAGTAATAATAATAAAAATTTTTACTATTTTAATATTGGATTCTTAAAGACATATTGAAATTAAGTGTAATTTAATTTCTTAGTTTCTGTTATACCGAGTTTAATAACATTCAAGTTGGAAGTTTCACTTCTGCCATTGGTCCCGAGACCCACACCTGGTTTTTTTGTTAAACTTTTAGGAATACTTGGTTTTCGAATTATGTAGGCAAGGCTTAATTTTGAGGAAATTTAATGTAACCGTTTCTACATTATTTAAGGTTATATTTTGTATGTTCGATACTTTAGTTAAAATGCTGAATCTTTTAAAATTTTTAACCATTTTCTATGCTTCTGGGCTCATTTCTTTCATACGTTATTGTGGAACATTCATTTGTTATGTATACTTTACAACGTTCCATACATATGGTGTTTTCTGTGATTTTTTAAATACCATAATTTTTAGTTACTATATCTTTTTTAATTTTTATTTGTAAGTAAATAAAAAAATACGTCTTGATTATTTTTCAAAATTGTACAAGACAGACCAAATCTAATTTTTTATGCAAAATCCTAATTGGTGGCACCAAACTCAACAAATTCTTTTATAATCGACAAAACTTCGTTTAAGCCATCATTTGAGCCTATTTTGGACCACCTTAAATAGTGTATGTACTCCTTCGCTACTAGTGTTAGAAATGGAATTGATACTTATTGATGTATCTCGTGAAAAAAGGCCAATTAGATCAAACGTTGAAACACATGTCTCATGTTTCAATCCAACACTACTGAAAAAAACTTTTTTTAAAGTTCTGATTCACAAAAGCTAGAAAAAGAGAAAATTTCTCCCTTCAGGCGTATAGAAATGACAGGTACAAAAGTGACATTTCGAGCTTTGGAGTTTTATTGTGCCTCGTAGATTTAATGTAAATGATCTTCTGCTTACGAAACATATGTCTTCAATAAATAATACACAAAAAATTTTTTCTTAGCTGCATGAGTAACAGCGTAGTGAGTCTGGGGTGAAAGTGGAAATGACCAAAATTTTTCTACACACAAAAATTAAAATTTAAAATAAGTATTAATTAAAGAGATTGAAACTATCGATAGCTTTTGCTTGTGTGTTTATCTTTTTATGTCGTGAGATTAGAGAAGTAACTACTAAAAGGTGTTACAAAACACAATAGTGTTGTTTTCAAAGTATTTTTCGCTGTAACAGACAGTTTTGCTCAAATCGTGGGACATTTAAAATTTGATGAAAACTCTTTCTTATAGATTAAAAATGAATGCTATTGCGGAATTAATGTAACATACGACGTCTATACTTGACAATTTATGTACGAGCATATGGTAGAGAAGCTTTTTTTTCTCCTAGTAAGAGCTTTTAGGTGTGAAATTGCCATTGGGATAGGGTGCGAAAGTGACAAATTGAGTATATTTTCTTAATTATCTTATTAAGGAGTCAATGTATGAGCTTAAAAGTTTTTCCTACGAAATTTTAACACTTTTAACATAATTCCACGCAATTTGAACATTCAATTTTAGTTTATTGTAGTAGCATAAGCTCTGGACACGAAATTGGCCACTCAAGGCAGTATCCCCTATTTACATACACGTTTTTATATATACTCAACCCCTTTTCTTTGTTATATCTCCGTAATCCACAAATAAGGAGGAATCGAATCGTACAGGTAAAATTGGATTTTAACCCAATTTAGCACTTAAAACAAAGTNTTAATTTTTATTTGTAAAAAAAAAGAAAAAACGTGTCGATTATTTTTCAAAATTATACAAGATGGACTAAATAAAATTGTTTATGCGAAATCCTCATTGCGTTATGATTATTTTATCTCCACGATGTTGCTGCTCTAACACAATAATACTATTAATGTCCAAAATCATACTTTTTGTGAAAAAATCATATTATTTATGAATAGTTTATTGATTAACTTTCCAGCATTGGTCAAGAAGATAAGAGATAATTCAAGGCAAAGAGGGGATACATCAATCGAAATACGCACTTATGTTGTACCGAAAATGGTGAATTGAAAGAGGCTCATTAGTGTCCGTAAATTACCTTGAAACCAAAAATTAAGTGCACAGAAGGTAATATTTTCAGATTTCGCGTCAGCCACGGGCAAGCAGCTGCAGAGGAGGGCGTTCCCCTGAGCCTCGATTGGGACAGTCACTACGCAAGTAACCCTCACTTTAGCATCGTGTTTTCGATGAAAATCAGCAGTTTATGATTATCAAATATTTTTTTCCTCAAAATATAAGTCTTAAAAAGTAACATATCTAAGCCCTAACTGCCAATGTTAATTAACGAAGTCTTGAGAGTTAAAATTAAAAAAAATGATCTTGGCTCCTGCGGATCGTAGGGCATCTTTTTTTTTAAATTGAGGGAAAAATTCAACCTTTTTGATAGAAAAAGTCTGGTAGATATTGCTCTTAAATCGTTTATGATATTTCATTTACAATTAAGCGTTTTCTTGCAGCTCATTTTTCCATTAATCTATTAAGAGAATTAAAATTATTCAATGAGAGATTCTTAGTACAACACCTTACGAATAGAATAAGCTCTTATTGGATACTGTAGAATGACGTCCCTCTGTAGAAATTACTTGTCAAAAAACCGTTTTTTTTATGAAAACATTGCCACTGCAAAAACAGTTAAACGTACAACATCCAAGTTTGGAGGTTTTGTAGTGACATACAAGAGCCTCAATTTCGTTGCATTTTCAGACGTTTCAGAATAATTGTTTATTAGTTATAAACAAATTTAAAAATTGTTATTGTAGCGGCTATTCGCATTTTAAAACTAAACAAATTAAATTATTAAATTAGCCGATTGTTAACCATTGCGGCTCATTCTGTAGGTCTTTTGAATACTGACATATTTCATGATAGGTGTTTTTTAATAAATCTAACAGGAAAAATGCTACGATTAGAAAAGTACTTTTTCATGCCGTTATTGGGCTCAAAAAAATTTTTACAATGAAATTCAGCTGTCCAAAACAATTTATTATCAATACTGACTTCAAAAAGCTTCCAAAACAGATGGCAAACTCACTTCTGCAATTTTTTTTAAAAGAGAGGTTAAAGCGTCTTCTTTTCCTGGTCTACTTGTTCGACCGCACATACACACATAACGGAGATTCACAAAATGTGCGCGCAGTGCCAAGTGATACAAGCAGTCAAGTCCTAGGTTTTCTCATAAGCAGTCGCTCTCTAGTCGTTAAGGTGACGATGTATAATAGACAACAAGTTTATTTCTTAATATATATAAGATACTTTTAACACTACCTTTTATCATACCTAATAGTTCAAAAATGTTTTTAAGTTGATCACGTTATGGTAACATTCATTGTTAACTTTTTCAAGTAATTAACTATGACTTATTTTTTTATTAAAGCTCTAGCTCTGACGACGTAATAGAATTACTCACTTAAAAAAAAATTTATAATATAAATAAAGTAAATCCATAAAAATGGTACTTTTTAATCCTCAAATAACTAGTCGATGAAATAAAAGTTTTGAAAGAATTTTATGACATTTTATATCAGTAGTTCAAAATTAGTGCCACATTAATTAAAAGATTTTAAAGCGAGTTTTGCAAAGCTTTTTATCCATGATAACTCATGCCTTTACTATCGTACACATAGTATTACCAGAATAAGTTGAAATTTCTGCTAACTCGTCAGGCTGTGAAACAAGGAGCAAGAATTTTCTGCCCGCCATTGAGTCTACTTTTGTGTATCTTCCGTCTCGATCCAAAGCTATATCCACATACGTTCCACACAACTCATCGAATGTGGTCTGCAGCAAAAGTAAATACTTTAAAAGAACCTTGTACTTTGGATCAGGTTGCAATTTATTTTTCAGAATATTTTGAATTGTCTCCAAATCAGCGCAACTTCGAACTATCTCCTTTAGACACAGCTTAATAAGAGAAAATACTTTAGCCGTCCACGCAGTTCTAGCTTGATGGTACAAATTAGCTGGTCGTTGCAGACCAGCAACTTTTTGCATTAATAATTTGAGACCTGGTCGAGAGTCAAATTTTAGTGCTGTAGTATATGATAGATCCAGGGCCGATATAAAAGTATCCATATGGTGGGAATCTATACTGTCGAGAAAGTCATTTAAACAGCATAATTTTGGTGAGACAATTGGGCTCATTAGTACACTGGAAAAGCTGTAACATAAAAAAGGGGTTGGAGGATTATTTGTATGTGTAATTTTTAGTTCATCAATAATCAATTTAAGTGAAATGACTCATATAAGTAAAGTGGTTTCGACTCCTCCGTAAATGTAACAAATGATTAACAGTGAATGACAAACTTTTATTTTCACGAATTTTGATTCAGATCCAAATTCTCTACGCTGTATTCATAAGTTTAAATGCATGCAAGTCTTTTAACACTCACTTCATTAATAAAGCAGCCTGATAACTTGATCATTTATTTCCTTTAAGAAAAGCTTTCTATTAGAAAAATGAGTTTTTAAAAAAAAAGATGTCAGAAACGTTTTTGTAGTATTTAAAATAAAAGTACATAATATATAAAAAATGTGTGATGGTCAATGTGCGTGTATTCTTTTTGTGTGTAAGCGTAAAGTTATGTCTCAGAAACGGTTCAACCGATTCAAATATTTCCATTTCCTCATTCTCAGAAAATCTCCGAAATATTTCAATTTTTTACTCAAATTAAGTTATTACTATAATTTCTTTATTTGCAAACAATTTTTTTTTGTTATTTGGATGACAAATACTACATTTTTTAAAGAAATTTTATGTTTTGAGCGCCTTCCATTATCAATAATCGATATGTAGAGAAGAAAAACAGCGATTTGTTGGAGGCTAATGTGAAAAACAAACACAACACAGTATTATATTTTTCTTATTGATGTATATTTGGCAACGTTTCCCTGGCTAGTGTGCCAGCCTCATCAAGCTAAAGCTAAAAAAACGAAAAATGCACTTTTGCGAGAAACACACAAACGATGTTACACGTACGAAGGTTAACAACAAGGATTACCTATTTTAGACGAATATTAACATTTAAACTGACAAAATTTCCAAGTACAATACATTTAAGATTTACTTAGTTGTATCGAAAACCACATGTTCTCTCGTCGGCGAATAAGTATAAACTGTCAATCGAGCTGTATGAATCCGTACGGAGAAAGATAAGCACGATAAATAGAAACCGAGTAGGAAAGGAAGGTAATGAACTTGCGCTAAAGGTGTATAAGTTTCTTCAATAGTGGAAAGTATGTACGATTGAGCAAGCATGTGTCTTCCTATTTATTAATACTATATTTATTATCCTTTATGAGTATCATCTCAGAGATGAGCCTTTTATGGTAGTTAGATTCTCTGTCTAAAATATTTATACTATCCCAATCAAACGTGTGATTATACTAAAGATTTGTTTATAAACAAATTTGCCGATCTTAAATTGGATGATTTGGAAACTGATTGTTTGAATTCATTAAAAGAACAATTTAATCACAGTCCTGATTTCTACTTCCGCTATATCGACGATATAATACTCTGTATAAAAGAAGATTATATAGATTTTGTACTAAATATTCTCAATTCATATAATCACTCGTTAAAATTTACATATGAAAAAGAAATAGACGGAAAAATTAACTTTTTAGATTTAACCATTATTAGAAAAAACAACCATCTTAAGTTTGATTGATTCCAAAAATCTACCTCTTCCGGACGAATGCTTAATTACTTTTCAGACCATCCAATAGGCTTAAAAAGAAACATAGTTTTTAATTTATTTGATCGAGCAGTATTACTATCGAGTAGAGACTTTCACAAAACAAATATCCCAAAGTTAAAAAGTTACTATTTCAGAATGATTATCCCATAGAGTTTATTAATAAAAACATAAAACGTAGATTGAACAAACAAAAATACATCCAAAAAACAAGAAATAAAAATGTTTCAACACCTATAATACCTTCTGGTAAAATAGGCATACCATATGCAAAAAACAGCAACAACAAGATATCGATACTATTGAAAGACTACAATTTTTTTACTTATCCTACTATTAACAAAAAACTAAACCAAATTGTAAAATTGGGGAAAGATAAGACCGAAAAATGGGACGAAACCAACGTCATCTACAGATTCAATTGTAAATATCCAAGATGTTCAGCTTCTTTTACGAGCGAAACAAAATGAGCCTTAATATTCCGGACTAACGAATACAAAAATAATAAAAACGTAGAATCAGTAGTTCATTCTCACCAACTTTAATATAATCACACGTTTGATTCGCCAACGAGAGAACATGTGGTTTTCGATACAACTAAGTAAATCTTAAATGTATTGTACTTGGAAATTTTGTCAATTTAAATGTTAATATTCGTCTAAAATAGGTAATCCTTGTTGTTAACCTTCGTACGTGTAACATCGTTTGTGTGTTTCTCGCAAAAGTGCATTTTTCGTTTTTTTAGCTTTAGCTTGATGAGGCTGGCACACTAGCCAGGGAAACGTTGCCAAATATACATCAATAAGAAAAATATAATACTGTGTAGTGTTTGTTTTTCACATTAGCCTCCAACAGATCGCTGTTTTTTAAATTTTTTGTTTTGAAGTATTCCAGCATGAAATAAGTTTTTATCATACCCTGGTCGAAAGTACGTACTTTCTGCATCGATATCGATGCCAAAAACTGAAGATATATGCATCAGTAGACCAACAAGCACGCTCTCTATAACAGAGGGAGCAAAATAAATCTTAAGCATGGCCATGTTGGATGCAGACACTATACCAGATTAAAAAACTACACTTTTAGTTTTAATCATACATTTTTTATGTAAATAGCAATAAAAACATACGAATAATTATCATTTTTACATTTAAACGATACAAAAATTTATTTTTATCTTTCAGAATCTTTACCATAATAATAATAAAAGTTGTTCGTAATATTCAAGTGAAAAAACAATTTGTAATAAATAGCGCTTCTTCGTCAAAATTTAAAAAATTTTCCTCTTCATCTTAAGATTCCTCGGACGGATCCGATTGCTCCATGTTAAGTCCAGTTGATAGAATGGTAACAAATTGACTTGTGAACACTCATTTCAGTGAGACCAAAAAGAGGCAATACGTAAACAGGAACCTGATACTTGGTTCGAAAAAAAGTGACATCCAGTAAAATGAAGCTAATGTACCTACTTACAATTAGTAAAACCTGTATGTATGAACGGTGAGTGAGGAAATGTGTACGGGCATGTGTATGTATAAAAAGACAATGTAGTTCTTAGCCAAGAAATGCCAGGGCAGGCTTCAAACAAAATAATAACTCAGTGACTATGTATAAAAGAGGGAGAGGAACACAAAAACTCGAAACTTTACGAGTATCTGTCGTCACCATAGACAGCGCTGAAGCAAGTACGAAAGTAAAATGTAGCTACACCAAGCCTTGTGAGATGAAGCATTTTGAACATTATGTAATGAATGTACTTTCGACCAGATATAAAGACAAATAGTATGCACAATGTGGAAATAATGTTAAAATGCTGCACTGCGATGTATATGTATTTGTATCGCAATGCAGAAAATTTAATTTTCGGCCCTATTTGTGCAATATAAATTTTTTTTTTTCATAACAACACATAAATTATTTGTAAAAATAAGTAATATTCTGAATTTTTCATCAACAGATTTCGATGGCCAAATGCTCCAAATTTTTATCAACCTACGTTAATAGGAGCTTTAAAATACAATGTCGATTTCATCTCTTTTTGAGATTGTTATAACATATTTTTGATTTTTTAAGAATCAATTTTTGACATTATTACTATCAGATGTATTGTTATGTTCATTATTAAATATTAAGATGGTTAGAAATCATTCCTTATGTCGGTTCCATAAATTTAATTTCAAACTTTGAAATTTCACGCTTAGTGCACAATTCAAACTTTGCATCCGGTGCATCATATTGCCTACTGATTACTAGGTGGCGACCATTCGCTATAAATGATATATTTGTTTAATTCAAAGTATTTTTTTCAAAATCTTTGATGCGTTAACCAAACCCCACTGTTAAGGAATGGGTACCGTCTCAATATAGATAAATAAAAGCGATTTACGTATAACAGCATGTTATAGACAGCCAAAAACGGTAACAATTTAAAAAGTGGAGATCGGTCTGGGTTTGTGAGGTATATTAAAAATACTTGCAGTCACTTATGTTGATAATGTGGTGATTTTAACGCTTATAATCAATTATGGGGTGAAGTAAAAGTACCTGAATGGTAATATTATCTATAATAGAACTGAATTAGAAGAAGTCTATTTGCTTAATGATAGTAGCCCATCCTTCTCAAGTGTCTAACATTGATATACCAAAATCTGCTGTTGATGTCACTTATATTTCTCGTGAATTAGCAATTAATTGTTCATGGATGGTTAAAAATTACTCTTACCGGAGTGATTACTTCCCAATCTATTGGTTTTGAAATGGATCAGGAATTTTTTCCTAGAAACCAGGTTAAGTTTGATGCAAATATAGTTAACTGGAATCTTTTTCAAGAAAATTTTCTGAATCCTTGTAGTTTGCTCATTTCTTCAATATAAATAATATACATAAAATATTATATTCTCAAATGATTTATAAGCTTATAAGAACTATTGAAAATCTCTTATGAATTCAGAAATCAATTGAGAATAGCTCTTGGTGCTAATATAATCAGTCTTGCTTTCATCATTAACCTTTCTTAGGCTGTATTAAGAGAATTACTAGGCAATGATTTATTTAGTTCAGGAGATTTTTTACCTGACTGGAGCGCCTATTTACGTATTTTTAATCCTAAATTTTCCAACAATGATGTGCATTCGATAAGTTTATCACCAAATAGCCAATAAAGCAAGCCTCTAAATGATTTCTCTCAAATGCTCCAATATCGTACATAGATATTTTCGTTAATTTTGAAACAATGCTTAAATAATAATTAAGAAAAAATCAGTAACATAACATTTGATAATTATAAAGATTTCTTCTATTTTAAAATATTTTTGAACTTTATATAAACATTGTAAATAATACTGGCTGTAATTGCAAATGAGGTGTTACAGAGTTTAATCAATCAAAAGTTACTAAAGCAAAACATTGTCTATAATACTGATTACGATTGCGGGAAAGGTGTTGTAGAATTTAATCTTGT